TCAGGATATCCCTTTAAAGTCAAACAAAAAAACCAAGTCAAATTTGCTTAAAAATAGTACGTACCAAACAAATGAGCATATAGAGCTAAGTTAGAACTCAGCAAACCTCTTTTTTATTTTCAGCCTAGGCTACTCACAACAGAACCAGTTTACCGTCTCTCTCTTGCATCAGAGCTCATCCCAGGAGCACAGAGGCCTTACATGAACTCTGCCTCATTACACTCTGATTTGAGAAATTGTATTAGAGCACAGCTGGATCTGATTGCTGACGTGCTTGGAGCAGGAAAGCGAGGCTTTCAGCAGTCTCCCAAGCCCAGCCCTGGGTCCAAGCCTCACTGAGTTCACCTCCCTCCTTCAGGGCTTCATCGTATGTACCAAAACCATGGCTTCTACCGTCCGCTGTGAGGAGTGAACTAAAGTGAGCGTTTTCAGCTTTTAATTTTTTAAATAATCATTTTGTTTATTTTATTTTATTTAATCCTCACCTGAGGACATATTTTTATTGACCTTAGGGAGACAGAAACATCGATGTGAGACAAAAACATCACATCGATCAGTTGTCTCTTGATTGCAGCTCAACCACGGATTGAACCCGCAACCTGGGTATGCACCCGCACCAGGATTCGAACCCTCAACCTTTAGGTGCATGGGATGATGCTCCAACCTACTGAGCAGCACCAGCCAGGGAGTTTTACATTAAAAAAAAAATTATACCATTAAGCTGTTAAGACACTTTGAGCAGCTTTGAGATTTTGTTTTTGAAATTGATTCTGAACACCATGACATTTAGGCTTCTGGGTTGGGACTTGCTTCTTGAGCATTAAACAAAAATGTATAATGTGTTCTTTTTCAAGAAAAGATTGAACTTTAGCTTTGAACTGTCAATAATGTTGATAGAAATTTAGTTTACTATTACTGTGTTTCAGGTGCAAAATAGAAGTGTAGAGCCAAAGTTGAGAGCCTGGGACTAGGATAAGGTCAGAGGAAAACTTCCCAAACACTATTGGAAGATCACCCAAAGGACTCATATGCATGCAGGCATGACCCACGGACACAAAAACAGTGTGGCGAAGGCCTGCAGAGGCGGGAGCAGAGTGAGGGGAGTCAGTGGGAAAAAAAGGGGGGCATCTGTAATGCTTTCAACAATAAAGATAAATTTAAAAAAAACAACAACACTATTGGAAAGTATATTACAAAGAACACATCTTTTCCCCTTTAAAAACAGGAATAAATTCAATAAAAAACAAACGAACAACAACAAAAAATGGGATTCTCATTATTGAGTTTAGAGCAGAATTACAAACACCGTCAACAGGAATACAATTCTCCTTCAATTTATGCTGCTACTGAAGTTGAATGTCCATGGGTGGGAACCTTAATATTTTGAAACAGCTTTATTGAGGTATATTTTACATACCATAAAATCCACCTCCTCTAAGTTCAGGGAGCCATAATTTTAATGTCATTACATAATAGTCACAAAAGCTACTTCTCAGTCTAACACTGCTTTACATGTCACTGATACAGTAAATATTTTGTTGTTATATCAACAAGAGACTCCCAAACAGTGATCTCAGTCTGATAAAAAAGATTTTAGAATCCTGTAAGAAATCTTGTCAGTGGTACTGTGGGTCCCACACTGAGGCCTATTTGTTATTCAAATCGAGCTTCTCCTGCAAGTCTATGAGATAGTTTTCCACCAACATAGGAAGTGATGAACTCCCCAGGGGATGTGTTATGAGGCAAGGTACTTCCAATGTGGAGAAAATATGAAATGCAAACTGAAGATAACATCAGCGTTCTTTTAAAAATTAAGAATATATGAATAGATTACATCCAACAGATAAGGGACTACTTAACACTTTAGTCATCTTCTCTAAGCTGCTTTTAAATTCATTTCTTACACCCTGGCCAGTTTGGCTTAGCAGTTGAAGTGTCCAGAAGTCCTGGGTTCAGTTCCCTTTAGGAGTACGTACCAAAAAAAAAAAAAAAAAAAAAAAAAAAAAAAAAAAAAATTATTTCTTAGGTTCTGAAAGAACATTGACCCAGAAACTGGGAAATTTTTTTGTTAATCCTCACTCTAGGATATTTTTTCATTCATTTTTACAGAGAGTGGGAGTGAGAGAAAGAAACATTGATGTGAGAGAGACATATTAATTGGTTGCCTCTTGTACAACCCTGACCGGGGCTGGGGACTGGGATTGAACCTGCAACCCAGCTATATGCCCTTGACGGGGAATCGAACCTGAGAGATCCTGGTGCTCGCAGGCTGAGCCAAACCGGCCAGGGTGGGAGATTTGGTTTTGGGTCCTGCCTTACTACTTACAAGATGCTGGTACATCCTCTTGGGACATTAGTCCTTGACTAATTTAGAAAGTTTTAATTAGGAGTCATGGAAATAATGTATGCCAAAAAAAAGCTTTATTCGCCACAAAGTGCTGTACAAGCGAAAGATATCCCTTTTATTATCACAAGTCAAGAAATCTTTCTATGTTAATCAAAATCTTCAATAGCTGGGTCTCTCTGTACGTGGCCCCATGTATTCCACTGTATTTCAACACGTGTGGCTCTTATTCCCAACAGGCCCTTTGTCCCATATGGGGCAATAAAGAGTCAGGATGAATTTCCTACCTGCACCTTCACCTTCACTTTACTAGCACTTCCTGTTCTTTATGATCACGTTCTTTATTATTATCAGTTTACTTATTACCCTGGTAGAAAATTACAAAACCACTTAGTAAGTCGCCCGAAGAATGACCACATTTCTTTAGATAAGGTGAGGTGAGTTTGTACTTCCAAATAATTAAGCTTAGTTGTAGAGCAAGTGATAATGCAGAATTTGTAAGCAAACAAAAGGTTTCATTAGAAACTGTAGGGTGTTCACGGGTGCCACCGTGCCACCATGCTCTCTAATGCCGGAACCATCTCTAGGTCGCCAGTTCCAGCCAGAGAAGAAGGTAACAAAGGAAGTCTCTACACTATGGCTGGTACAAAGCCGACTGTCAATCCACCGGTGGTAAAGCACCCAGAAAGCGACTGGCTACAAAAGCCGCTGGCAAGAGTGCGCCCTCTACTGGACGGCGAAGAAACCTCATCTTTATAGGCCTGGATGGTGGTACTCTGTGAAATTGGACGTTACCAGAAGTCCACTGAACTTCTGACTGGCAAACTTCCCTTCCAGCGTCTGCTGCGGGAAATTGCTCAGGACAGATCTATGCTCCCAGAGTGCAGCTATTGGTGCTTTGCTGGAGGCAAATTAGGCTTATCTGGTTGGCCTTTTTGAACACACCAACCTGTGTTACCCATGCCAAACGTGTAATAACTATGCCAAAAGACATCCAGCCAGCATGCTGCATACATGGAAAATGGGCTTTGGAATCCACTATGAGGGGAAACATTTCACTATTTAAAAAAAGTTGTCTTTTTCTTTTCTTCCTATTATTGGCAGTCCTGAACATTAGATTTTTCTTCCTCATAGGTACCTAAGCATATGATTGCAAGTGCAAAGTAGGGGACAGAAATCAGGTATTGGCAGGTTTTCCATTTTCATTTGTGTGTGGATTTAAAAAAATATAAACACAGGGATATAAAACATTGATGCAAGTCAAAATGTTTCAGGGAACAAGTTTTAGCAGTTTGACAATGACAATATAAATAAACTTGTTAAATTTTTCTGGACAATGCCAGCATTTGGATTTTTTTTAAACAAGTAAATTTTGGCCCTGTCCAGTTTGGCTCAGCGGTTAGAGCGTCAGCCTGCGGTCCGGAGAGACCTGGGTTCGGTTCCCGCTAAGGGCACGTACTTCGGTTGCAGTTTGTCCCTGGCCCTGGTTGGTCGTGCGGGTGGCAGCCACTCGATGTGTCCCTTCACGTCGATGTTTCTCTCTCTCTCCCTTCCTCTCTCTCCCTCCCACTCTATCTGTACAAAAAATGGAAAAATATCCTCGGGTGAGGATAAAAAATAAAAACAAACAAACAAAAAAAACAACAACAAGTAAATTTTGTATTGATGCAACTACATGGTGTTTGTAGCATTTTTGTCATAGAGTAGATTCCATTCTTTTACTTTTCTGAGTTGTCCTACATGAAAGTACATCTTTTTTTTTTAATCCTCACCCGAGGACATTTTTGCACTTTATCTTAAGATATAGAGTGGGAGGGAAAGAAGAAGGAAGAGAGAGAGAGAGACACACATCGACATGAGAGAGACACATTGAATGGTCGCCACCCACTGGACCCCAACCGGAGCCAGGGACAAACTGCAAGCGAGGTACATGCCCTTAGCAGGAACTGAACCTGGGTCTCTCTAGTCCATGGGCCGTCGCTCTAGCTGCTGAGCCACATAGGCCGGGGTGAAAGTACATCTTTTAAAATGTTGTCTGTTTTCTATGCTGTTCCATAAGTTTGCTATTAAAATACATTAAACTGAAAAAAAAAAAAAAAAAAAAGTAAAACAGTGAAGATAAAATCATCATGGTAAAGCTAATGTCCAGAGCCCTTCAAGTACTACTTATGCACAGAGGACATGCTCAGCAAAAGAAGTTATTTATAAGATGACCTTCTTTTGCTCTTTTATTCCCACTCAACATATTCACGTTTTTGTTTCATACTAAAGTAGTTCAGAAGTTAAATTGTGCAGCGTTGCTAGTCTCTGCCTAGAGAGGATGACCCTTTCTAAAGGAGATTAAACCGGAAGATGAAAGGAAATCTCAATATGTAAACCCTCCTAGGATTAACACTCCTGATCACACTCTCAAGACTCTGAATTTAAGGTATATTCTCCATGGTGCCTGGAATGAGACGTAGTGATTCATTCTCATTTCTTAAAAAGAATGGAGAAGATGGCACACATGCTGCTCCTTCTCTAGTTTCCTTTATCTGGTAAGCCTTCATAAAAATACTTACACTGTGAGGGTCAGTTTGTGTTCCTAGTTTGTGTGAGCGAAGCACTGGGTAGAGTGCAAATGACCTGCTGCCTTCCTTCCTGAAGTCATACTTACTAAGCAGTAGATCCACTGTCCACACAGGTCCCACCGTTGCCACAGTCCAGGAAACCACAGGGAGAAGCGTCACACTGGCCAACGCTGCGCCCAGCACTTGGGTGGCCCTCCGGATCCCCCAGGCTTCTGAAGCGACCGTCCTTCCCAGTGCGGACTTGAAGAGTGAAAATGCAACCTTGAAGAAAGGGGAAAATGCTTCATATAAAAAAATGGAATAAATAGATACAACAGGAAGACAGTTTTTTTCTCATTTTTAAAGTAACATTTTAAAACACAAGGTTATCGTGTCAAGTGAAAAAATAAAAATAAAAAAGAGAGCCACGGGGAGAAAAATTTGAAAATCATCTACATCATCATCACTTCAGAGTAGACAACTATCGACATTTTGGCATATATATGTATGTTTTCTATGCTTCATTGTATTTTCTTTTAAACAAAAATAAAATTCTGCATTAAACTATATATATACACATAATATATAGTAGTATACCAAAAATTTGTATAGCATAAATACCATTAACTTTTTTCTAATAGCATTAAATGTTTTTTAGTGATGGCATAATTTCTTATATCCTAATATAATTAATCAACCTTCAATTAAATATTATCACTTGTATATCTTTGTGTATTTGTTAATTATTTTCTTAGTATAAATTTCAAGAAGTACAACTACTAGGGGACAAGATGGGTGCTTTGGAGTGTGCCTAAGTGTCATAGACATTTTGCACAATTATGTCCCCCCTCCCATCCCACCCTCCCACCCCCATACTGGGACACCTGCTACCTCACAGGCACACAATGCAAGAGAGTATCTGTTTCATTTGTAAATGAAATACATAATAAAATGCTGTTTTACTAGTTTTAGTTGAAGCTTTAAATCTTTTTAAAAATATTAGTTATTTGCAGTTTTTCCTGTAAGTTGCCTATTGTCTACTCTGTCTCTATTCACCCTTTTAAGTATTTATTTGAAAGATATCCTTATATAATGAGCACATTTGCTGTTTGTTGTATATTGCAAATTCTTTCTTCAGTTTAATATTTGCTATTTAATTTTGCTTAGGGTGAGGTTTTTTAAAAATTATGTTTTTATTGATTTTTTTGGAGAAAGAGGAAGGGAGAGAGAGAAACATCGATATGAGAGAGATACATTGATCAGCTGACTCCTGCACACCCGCTACTGGGGAATTGAACCAGAACCTCTCAGTCCTTGGGGTGATGCTCAATCCACTGAGCCATACCAACTGGACGAGGTTTTTATTTTTGTGTGGAGAATTTTATAATATGTTGTCATATTTATTATTTTTTCCTTCAGGGATTTTGCATTTGTCCTTAGAAATGTCTTTTCCAGACATACACTCTATCATTTCACTTATATGTGAAATCTAAAAAGTTGAACTCATAGAAGCAGAGTAAAACAGTGGTTGCCAGGGCCTGGAGCGGGGAGGAATGGGGAGAATGTTGGTCAAGAGGTACAAACTTTCAGTTAAAAGATGAATAAGTTCTGAGGATCTAACGTACAGCATGTGGATATAGCTGACAATAATATTTTATATACTTGAAATTTTCTGAGAAAGCAGATTGTAAATGTACTCATCACACACACACACGTGCACACACGCGCGTGCGCACACACACACACATGAAAGGTAGCTATGTTGGGTGATGGATGTGCTAACTAACTCAATGGTGGTACTCTCTTTACAATGTATATGTATACCAAATCTTCATGTTGTACACATTAAATCTACATAATTTTTATTTGTCAATTGTATATCATGAAAGCTGGGGGAAAAAAAGGTCTTTTTCCATCTTAATATTAAATAACTATAAACAAAAGGATAGTCCATTAACTAATTAATGGAATTACAATACTGAAATGTATTGTAATTTTATTAATTTCCTTCAGCACTTACTCAGAGTTTGTTTACAACATATTTTCACATCAGTATGTACATCAACCTTAAATAGGGTCTTGAAAATGATAAAAGATAGGTTAGATTGGATTTTATTTCCAAAACATTTTCTGAAGCAAGTCTGGAATAATCCCTCATGGAGAAAAAAAAAAAAAAAAGAGGTTCTGTTTGGAAAGGTCAAGAATTTACTTTTCAACCCAGTTCTCACTGCCAAGCAGCATCCTCAGCCCACACCATTTTCTCATTGTAAGAGAATGTAGTTTTCTTCCTTAGATTTTATCTTTGCTCTTCTGCAAGCACTGCTATTACACACAAAAAAAGCACTAATATGGAAAACTGGATGGAGAAATGAATGAATGAATGCTAGCTGCTTTGTATTGAATAACCAGGTCGCTCAACGAACACAGCGGGGTTGCCATGTCTCTGCCAAGCGAAATGTACTCAGCAAAAGATCAAAAGAGGTTTGAAGTCAGGTGCGTCTGGGTTCAATTACAGTCTTTCTCACATAATGGCTAGATGACCCAAGTCTAACTGAGCGCCAATCTTTTTACCTTTAAAATGGGAACAAAAACAACTACACACACACAAAAAAAACAAAAAAACAACAACAACAATTACTCCATGGGTTAAGAAGAACAGGTAACATACATAAACTGGCCAGTACAATGCCTGCAAGTTAGGCCTTGTACTTCACCTCCCCCCATCCCCTCTACCACACTGTCTCAGAAATTCTTTATTTACTTTTCTGTTGCTGTTGTTAATCCTCACCTGAGGATATTTGCTCATTGATTTTTAAATAGAGTAGAAGGGAGGGAGGGAGAAAGAGAAAGAGAAACATCGATGCGAGAGAGACCCATTAATTACTTGCTTCCCACACTATCCTGACTGGGGCTGGGGACTGAACCTGCAATCCAGGTGTGTGCCCTTCACCAGAAATTGAACCCGAGACTCTTCAGTCTTCAGGCCGACGCTGTAACCACTGAGCCAAACTGAACAGGGCTCTCTATTTACTTTATAAAAAATTATTTTTAACAAAAAATTGTAGGATGCTATTAGGTTTTTGTAGTTTTTATAATCACGCACCAAAAAAATTTGCTGAATAATGATTATAATATATATTAATGTCTGAAGGTGTTCATTTTAAACCTCTCTTTTATTTATTTATATATTTTGTTGTTAATCCTCACCCAAGGATATTTTTCTACTTATTTTTTTTAGAGATAGTGGGAGGGAGGGAGGCCTCATTGCCTTGGGGACTGCACCTGCACCCCAGGTACTGCCCTTGACTGGGAATTGAACTTGTGACCCCTTCGGTCTCAGGGCAGACACTCTAACTATGGAACAAAACTGGCCAGGGCTAAACCTCTTCTCTTTTAGATGGATAAGAAATACTTTTGTTATGAGGAACTGCTGAAATATATTTTGACTAAAAACCTGGTAAAGATACATATAGAGAAACATTAGGAAATACAAAAAGTTAAATGTGTTTATTTTAGAGAAACCCTTCCTGTTAGTCCACATATCATCAGTTTAAAGGCAATTAGAATGGAAGCTGTTTGTGGAATGTATATTGTAAAATTTCCCTCCTACTAATAAAAAAGATAAAATATAATCTGCTTAGTATTGCACCATGCAACAGGTGTGATCCATATTCAATAAATATATCCTGCCTGTGCGATGGTAGTTATGATAAAGACTTTTGGAGCCACGAGCCATATGTATATTGGAAAGTGATGGCTGTGTGTGTGTGTGTGTGTTTACAGTAAAATAATATCTAAATTATTACAGTAAACTCATTTTTCCCCTCTATGGACTCTGACTTGAAAAATCTCATGCAATTAAAAAAAAAAAGAGAGAGAGAGAGAAAGTTGAACTAACAAGAAACTGACTATACTGACAGTGTAGAGCACTTTCCGGTTGGAGTAACATCTTTACAGTGTTGCTAATGAATTTGAATCTATCTTATGTCCACTCTATTCAGACGAGTGATAAATATTTAATAAGAATCCTTGTATCAATGAACACTAGCTGCTGTAACACTAGAATAATAGATAGATGGGATAATAGATTTCCCCAATCCCACACCAGTCAAAAGTAATTTTTGATTCTATAACAGGATTAAATAGGTCTGTCGGTGAAAGCAACAGATCTTAGAACAACGACAGAAGCTATGGACCTTCTCCTAGGAAAATGCACACAGGCGCACACAACTGCATGTATGACGTCAGGAGACTCAGGAACCCACTGCAGCCCATCCTTCACCCTCAGCCCAAGAATCCTGCAGCATTGTAATCGCTGCACCTTTGGAGAGCAGGGAAAAATTCCTGTTATTAGGACAGGTAAACAGGAATGGCCTCTTTGCTTGGCTTAAAAAGATTATTTAATCTAGAGAAGAGTTACATAACCTCAATATCTTCATTACCATTAACGGTTAAAGGGAAAATAATGGCTCATTATAAAAAAAAAAATAACTTCTAGAACAAAAACAAATGGGCTGCATTAACAGTAATGATTTGTATTTTAGACTGAGAACTTCCGCTTTAGACTTATTTATCAGGATTGTTTATAGAAACATGAAAGCCTAAATCAGATAATCTTTTATTGTGTGTGATTTAATCCCCATTCTAAAGAAAGATAATTAGGCCTTATTTGTTTGTGTTGGTGATGTTAGAATTTAATAATTAGGCTAAGGCCAGACTGATTATTAAATTATTCCATAACTCTATTTGCGTTGTTATGATTAATTGATGTAGTGATTTCCAAACCTGGGAAGGCTTACTGAAATGTAAATTTTTAGACCCCATCACAGAGATTTTGATTAAGTAGTTCTGGGCTAGGGTTCAGAAATCTATATTTTAAAGAAGTCACCCTATATCATTCTCTGGAGCCAATGGAGATCAATTTTGGGAAATCATAGGTTTATGGTTTAGTTGCAATCTGGTCTTTATGGTAGGTTGGTAATAATGGTCCATAATTTGCAGTTCAGAGTAAATGCTAGTTTATAATAGAGGAGAGGCAGACCTGAAGGGAGAATTCAAGAGGCAAATGATAAAATTAGGGGCTTCTAAGGTCCTGGAGCTTCCATAAGATTGTGGATTCAGTGTCAATCTCCAAGAAGACCTTCCCAAGATGTCCATCCCACTGACCATGGCAGCCGACAGGCTTCCAGACACACAGTCCTAGCACTTCTCTCTCAGGAGGGGCCAGCTGTTTGTGGGCTGAACTCAGGCTCATTGTCACCCTTAAGGAGAAAATGACAGTCTCTGAAGAAAGACTCTCCCTCTCTCTCTTTTTTTTTTTTGGTACATGCCCCTAGTGGGAACTGAACCGGGGACTCTCTGGTCCACAGGCCGATGCTCCAACTGCTGAGCCAAACTGGCCAGGGTGAAGATAGACTCTCTCTGTTCTCATTATCAAGATGCGAAGAAAAGCCCTGGCCAGCATGGCTCAGTGGTTAGAGCGAAGGCCCCCCGCACACTGGAGGGTTGAGGGTTTGATTCCGGGTCAAGGGCATGTACCTGGGTTGCAGGTTTGATCCCCAGCCTTGGTCAGGGTGCATGTGGGAGGCAACCAATTGATATCTCTCTCTCACATCGATGTTTCTCTCTCTCACTCTTCTCTGTGTCTTTCTCCCCACCCCCCTCCCTTCCACTCTCTCTAAAAATCAATGGAAAAAATATCCTCGGGTGAGGATTAACCAAACAAACAAACAAACAAACAAAAACCACATAAAACAAAACAAAAAAAACCCCAAAATGTGAAGAAAAATCCCCCAAAGAAGGGAGAAAATAACTCAAGGAAATCAGGAAGCGCTGGAATTCAGTAAATTGGAAAACGCCAAGCCCAGCAACAACAGGATGGAGTACTGTTATCAGTTAATATTTACTGAGTGTTTAGCATGTACTGTTTTCTGAGTTAAGCACTTAACATTATTTTAGTTAGTTGATTAACTCTCAAGACCCCTATGGGTTAGGTACTTTTATTTTACAGGAGGAAAAAAAATGGAGGCTCAGAGTTTAAGTGAAAAGCTCAGACTAACACAGCTGCTAGGTGGCAGGGCCCAAATCTGAAGGCAGCCTGTCTGCAGAGCTTGAGCTCTTACCTGTTCGTGCAGCAGAGAAAGAGCAGCACGCGTGTAACGGGAGCTGTGTCACCTCCCACCACCGACATCACTAACACAGGGAGCACTCTGCGCCAGGCAATCAATCATCTGTGTTCTCTTTTCATTCACTCACTCTCAGAACTACAGGCAAGACAAGCGCTGTTGTTATCCCATTTTACAGACGAGGCACAGTGAGGCACAGGGAGGTTTGGTTACTAGCCAGGGCCACGAAGCTTGCCCATGGCAGAGCTGAGGTGTAGACCCAGGCAGTTGGGTTCCAGAGTCCACACTCTTGTCCCTGATGCTAAATCCAGAGCATTTATGTCAGCATCATGTCTGTGATTACATGACAGTAAGTTCTGATGACTCCCACCGAGTCTCTGTGTCACTGAGTGCTTCTTTACACATTCGTACGTTTACCCATCCTTTTTCTCGAACTTAATGTTTTTCAAAACGCATTGATTTGTTGTGCCCTCACAATCCTTTCAGGTTGTCCCCTGCTCTGAAAGAACTGCTGAGCTCTCGATTATGTTTAGCATAGTGGCTTAATATGCTTCAAACCATTCTTTAACACATGCTTCTGAGAATCAGCACTGATTACATATTCAAAGAAGTTTCTTTGAGAGTCTTGGTTACAATGAACTACTTGTATTGAAACCTGCCCTTGTATTACGTTGGGTTAGTGGTGTCGCTTTCATGTTTCAAGTATGTGGCCTTCTGCATCAGTATTGGGCAGAAGGCAGTGAAGGTGGGGACAAGGATGGTGCCAGGCAGGCAGAGAACTCAAGTGCCTGAGATGGCTGTGGATGACGCACAGAGATGTGCTCCACAACTTGGTCGCTGTTCCTTGATTTCTGATAGAGAGTAGGCTGGTCATGGGTTAGCGGCTCAGGACACTATGAGCAGCTCCTTGACCAAATATGCTGGGACGAGGGATCTACCAAAAAGCTTATTTTCACTAAATGCATTATTATAACAATTTGAAGCATGTGTTTATTTTATGATTCTGCTATGAATCACCTTTATAGGGAAGATCGCAGGGTATGCTCCTTTTTGAACACAGAGAGACAGATGATGGCAATCCAACTGCTTGTCCAAGAATGGTGTTGGGTCTTAATGGTGTTGGCTTCTGGTGGCCTCTGTGGGACCACACCTTGGGGGTTTGGGTTAGTGGCTGCAGTCTGTCACTCATTTATTACATGTACATTCCAATTGGATAAAATTTTAATTTTCCCTGTGACCCCATGAGGTCTATGCTACTTACCCTATATTAAAAAGCACCTTATATAAAAAAAAATTATTCACACTCTATTTTTCATTTTGCTCCACAGAACTTATCACTTTATACCACTTTCTTTATATAATTTCTTTATTTAGTATATTTAGTGTTTATTATCTATTCCCTCCTTTGACCAACTAGAATGTAGACTCACAAGTATAGGAATCTTTATTTTTTTCACTGAAACATCCCAAATACTGAGCACATGGGTAGTAAGTGAATAATAAGAATAAACGCTTTCCATTAAAATCAAATTTTGATCAGGTCCAATCAGTAAGCAATCCACATTGCTAGTTTCAGAACTAGAAGCATACTCTTTAAAAGTCTTCTTTTCTCAAATTTTGAAACAAGTAGGTATAGTGGAACAGCCTCCAAGCCTTACCTTGAAAGCCGTTTTTAAAATCAGCTCCATTTGGCAGGAGATCTGGAGTGTATTCACTGTAGCCACCCACATAGAACTGACTGAACACATTGAGACCAACCAGTGTTCCTGGGGAGATGACGGATTTGTTTTTATGATCATCTACCTTCAAAAGGGGGGGAAAAAAACAAAGAAAACCTATTAAAAAGGGAATTACTTCCCCAAGGTGACTGTTAAGATACCCTTTATTTCCCATTAACTTGGCATGAAAATTTTACAGACCTGACTTTTGAGGAAATCAAACACACCTCACTACCCCATTCCTTGCTTCTCTGCTGGTGTCTGTTGCCGTGGACACTAAGGCGGCAGTCGTGGCTTGGCATTTCAGTCCAAATCACAGCTCGTCGAAGATCCAGGAGCCGGCATCCGGCCGTTCTCCTCCGTCTAGCCTAGCCTCTCTCCCCCACCCATTCTCAGTACCACAACCAGAGTCATTTATCAAAACATGGAAATCGACCCTGGTACACAACCCCCTTCGTAAATCTCTCAGCCGTTCTCCAGAGCTCCCAGGATAAACACCTGAACGTCTTAGCGGGACCTCAAAGTCCTTTGCCGGCACAGACCCTGTCGACCTCTAAGCCCATGTCTTGCTTCCCCTCACCGGAAAGCCAAACCGAGCCAGGCGCATTTTGTAAGCCCACACGAGCCACTGTTCTTCATCCCAGCTCCTGTTTATTTGAAGTCATGCTCACGCACCACCTGCTGGGGAAGCATGTCCTGAACGCTCTCTCTCACTTCACTTGTGTCGGTCCCGCCCCCCCTTCTGTATTCCTGCCCCACGGAACCGCAATCATCTCTCCGCCCTGCACGCTGTGCACGGCTCTGGGACCTCGAGGGAGCGGGTGGCGCGGCCTGCGCCTCGGGGCCGCAGCCCAAATCCACGGAGCAGCAGCACCGAGTTAGTCTGTGGGACCGACGAGGGGAGGTACCTTCAGCCAGCCGGTTCGGAAGACCCTCCCCAGATGGACCGTGTGGATCCCGAGGCTCAGATCGAGAGGGTCGCTCCTGACGCTCGCGAGCCCGGAGCCCAGGTTGAAGCTGTGCACCACGCGGCCGCCGCGCAGGCCCACGGCCAGGAGGTCGTCGCCGTCCAACCCTGGAATGAGAACACGCGTGGGGCAGGCTCCCAGGAGGACTTCGGGAAGGGCGGTCAGCTCCGTGTCCCTGTCGCTCTGAGTCACAGAGCAGGACAGCAAATTATAAGAGACGCCCAGCCTCTCATAGCAGCACCCAGGGAGGTGTGGGACCCGGTTCTGAGGCGCAGAAACTGGCTGAGCACTGAGAGTTTGATTTTTAAGCCATGCGATTTCTAGTCAACCCAGAGACATAATTAATACCTAAGAAGTTGGGATTAAAAGCTCTCTCGCTCCTTTTTTGGGTCTGCATGAAATTCAGTGTGTACTTTATAATAAGTAGGCCTTTACAACGGAGTAAAACCGCTCTGGTAGTTAGTGCTCTTCAAAAGATTGAGATAACCTAGCATCAGCTTTGAAGTTCTCTCCATGGATTGAGTATAAAGAAGACCAATTTCTATAGTTGCTCAGGGTATCTGTGTTCTGTTGCAAATGCTTTTGGCCATGCCACCCGGACTAGTGAAAGGTGGGCTGTTTCTGTGTTCCCTCTTCTCTCCCTACCCCCTTAGTCCAGGGCCACCCACGCGGCACAGGGAATGCAATACCCAGAGAACTCAGGACACAGCTAAGAGAGACCCGTAGGAAAAGGGCAGGTGGTTGAGGGAGATCTAGCATCAGGCACGAGGGAAAGGTCCTGGAGGTAGTTTTGGTGGCATTAGGAAGGTGTGGGATGGTTGATGATATAAGACCTGGCAGGTGGGCAGAGCTCAGCCAGGTGAAGACTAAGCTTCTAGAGCTAGGTGGAGGCAGAAGGTCTATTGACAGAGAGGAGGGATCCAAAAACATCTCCCGGTTTCTGAAAGGTGTTTGTAGACCTTTAGACTCAGGCTTGCAGGTAGGGAGTTGAGGCAAGGATTTCTTCTTGGAAGAAGAATTTAAAGACCCCATAGAAGTAAAAGGCTTAATCACAGGGCAAAAAGCAGGAGTGAGTTCTTGGATGTGGATGGAATTTGTCATCAGCAGGTGCAGTCTCTCCCTCCTGCACTGCTAGGGGTGATGTCTCACCCGCTCCGTGGCCTCTGTTGTTGGGCTGATCAAGGTAAAGGAGAGAAAGATCTGGAGGGTGGGCTCCCTAAGGTGCTGGAAAGCAGAAGACAGAAATGTCATTTAGAGATGTCTGAACTCTGCCTCTGTTTTTCTAACAGCTCTGCCATGGGCCCTGAGCGGGATTATTTTCGGACACTCCTTTGGTGAATATAATACACAGCCAGGATTGAGAACCACTGTGTTTGTTAAATGCCATACGGATGACTAAGCACTTTGAGAACTTACAGCAAATCTCCCCCACCCTCTCTCTCTGGTGATTACTTCCCACCTGCAGTACTGAAGCAGGTTAGCTGGGTTGTATATTTAAAATGTAAAGAACTCCCTGGAGAAGACATAGATTCAGGAAGACAGGCAGAAAAGAGAAAAACCACCATGAGAGATTGGAGACAGCCTCTCAGACAGCTGTTGAGATATAGATATCCTAGGGAGAGAGAGCTGGAGAGGAGAATGATACGATATTTATCTAGGGGTTGTGAATGGCGATCTTTTTGAGACATTCTAGTGGGACTCTGAATCGTCCTTCCAGTTGTCTAGGATGGTGGGGATGGGGACGTGCTCTGCTGACAGACCATGAGGGGTGGGAGAGCAGATTTATTCGAGCCGCCCTCTCTCCTGATCTGTTCCCACATCTTCCTCCAGCTATTGACAGCCTGCTTCATGCAGGAACTATATTACCCTCAAGGTCCTCACAGCCTGGTTGGGAGGACACAGGAGGTTTGTCTCAAGTGCCATGGGGAGCAGAGGAGAGGCAGCAGTGGGGGTCAGTTATTAAGACGGGCTAGGAGGAGTGTTAGGAAATTAAAAAGGAGGCAATTTTTAAGTTGGGTTCTTAGCAGACCCATAAAACGACAGGCAAGAATTTGGTTGGTCGATGAGGAAAGGTGAAGGGCTGAAGAGGGCTGTTGGAAGCAGAGGGAAGTAACTGTAAGAGCCCAGGAGGAGCAGGAAGCAGGTGTGCTTCCAGAACTGCTGGGCGCTGGGCCCGGCTGGCACTCAGTGTCTGCGGCAGAAAGAGCCATATCTTTTATCTATCTATCTATCAACTTTATTTATTTATTTAATTAATTTATTTTTGTTACAGATGTTTCTCCTTTTTCATCCACTGATTCCCCCTCCCCCTCCCTCCCCGCCCTGTCCCCAACTCTGTTGTCCATGTCCATTGTTCATCATACATGCATTTAAGTTCTGTGGCTTATCTCTCCCCCCACCCACTCTTCTGGGGATTGTCAGTCTGTACCCCACTTCCACGTCTCTGGGACTATCCCATTCCTCAGACTGTTATGTTCATTATATTCCACAAATAAGTGAGATCATATGATACTTGTCTTTCTCTGTTTGGCTTGTTTCGCTTAGGATGACACTTTTCAGGTCCCTCCATGTCGTCTCAAAGGATAAGAGATCTTTCTTTCTTACAGCTGCATAGTACTCCATTGTGTATATGTACCACTGCTTTTTTAGCCATTTGTCTACTGATGGACGTTTGGGCTGTTTCCAGATCTTAGCTATTGTAAATAGTGCTGCTACGAACATGGGGGTACATATATTCTTTCTGATTGGTGTTTCAGGCTTCTTAGTGTTTATTCCTAGAAGTGGGATCACTGGGTCAAATGGCAGTTCAATTTTTAATTTTTTGAGGTAACACCATATTGTTTTCCATAGTGGCTGCACCAGTCTGCATTCCCACCAGCAGTATACTAGGGTCCCCTTTTCTCCACACCCTCGCCAACACTTGTTGTTTGATGATTTGTTGATGGTGGCCATTCTGACAGGTGTGAGGTGATACCTCATTGTTGTTTTAATTTGCATCTCTCTGATGATCAGTGATGTTGAGCATCTCTTCATATGTCTCTTAGCCATTTGTATGTCCTGTTTGGAGAGGTGTCTATTTAGTTCCTCTGCCCATTTTTTATTTGGGTTCTTTGTCTTCCTTTTGTTGAGTTGTATGAGCACTTTATATATATTGGAAATTAACCCCTTATCTGATATATCATTGGCAATTATGCTCTCCCATACAGTGGGTTGCAAAAAGAGCCATATCTTTAAAGGGCCTAACATACAACAATAATGGATTTAAATATTTTGCTCGAGACTCCCAGAAGCCATGAAAGGATTTTGAATAAGAGAATTCCATTAGATCTGGATGTTAGAAGGATCTTGTAGCAACGCTGAACGCAGACATGGAAGCTGATGAGGAGCCTCATTAGATGGTCATTCAAGTGACTGAAGAGAGGAAAGAATAAGGTCTAAGTAAATCAAGGCCGTGACAGGGCAGGCAGAGAAAACAGGAGGCATTTTTGTGTGATCTGGAAGGACATTTTGAAATAACAGATCGACTTGGTGTGAAGAGTTGAGGAAGAGGGATAAGTTGAAGGTGGTCCTGAAGAAGCTGGTTTAAGGAGCCAGAAAGAAAGGCAGGGTTGGTCATGGGGCTAGGAGCTCGGCAAGGAGCAGTCTGGGGAAAGAGATCGACTTCAGTGCAGAGATGCTCCTGCTGACAGAGCATAGGAGTAGATGTTCCAAGGGGTGGGCATCAGTGAGCCAGGGTGCCGATCAGACTACCAAGCAGTTGACAGCATCTTATTTTTTTTATTTTTATATTTTTATCCTCACCTGAGGACATTTTTCCATTTTTTGTTCAGATAGAGCGGGAGGGAGAGAGAGGAAGAGAGAGAGAGAGAAACATCGACGTGAAGGGACACATCGAGTGGCTGCCATCCGCGCGACCAACCAGGGCCGGGGACAAACTGCAACCGAGGTACGTGCCCTTAGCGGGAACCGAACCCGGGTCTCTCTGTACCGCAGGCCGACACTCCAACCGCTGAGCCAAACCGGCCAGGGTGACAGCATCTTATTTACAGCCCCTGTTTTCCTTCCCTCTGTCACTTCTTCCTCTCCGGACTTTCTGTTAGAGTCCACCTTGGTGGTGGGTGATGGAGTAGATAAGAGAAAGAAAAGCAGTTGACAACCAGGGCTGGTGCCTGGAAGGTGGGCATACTTCAGGGACTTGGAATTGCTCTAGGGTGGTGTTTTGTAAACCTGGAAGTCTATCCCAGTTACTCAGAGAGCTTATCAAGAATACAGATTCTAGAACTTACATGAGAATCCTTGAAGCTAGGTAGGTTCAGGATATATTGTATTAGTAGGCTCCCCATCTATTTTTACACCAAGCTGGACTGGTGTTAATAACTCTAGCAGGGCCTGTGTGACCTGTGTTTTCACAAAGGGCTCTGCTCTCAGAAGGACCCCATCCTTGCTTAATGCTGTCACTTCTTGAAATTCTTTGAAGCTGTGTTTGGAAAGTGAAGTCACGGGACAGTGGATCACAAGCAGGAACAGAGGTGATACAGATGTACTACGTTGTTTGTTTCTGGCCATCCATTCGCATGTAGGGTTTGTGATATCCCATGAGAACAGAATGGCCAAAGTCCTGGGAATTCCCTGAGACTCCAAAAAAGTAAAAGGAAAACGTTCCGTCCAGCAGCCGAGGAGGTGGGGTTGCTGACCTGCCATGCTTTCCAGGGGAACCGCAATTTGCTTCAAGCGCAGAAAGGCAATGGTGGTCTGAGAAACTTGAATGACCAGGAAACCTTCTAATTTCTTTCTTACTCCTGTTGCTTCCCTATATCAGCTCATTATTTACATCCAAAATGATGGCAGAGAGGGGAAGGGAAAGAGAGGGAAGTCCCTGCTGTTTTTCCTGTCCATCCTTCTTTGCCCAGCAGCAGGCTGGTGGTCGTGTGGACAGATGTGCTTGTCTCAAGGGATGAAACAGTTGACAATTTTGTCAGCGTTTCACTGTTGTGATAAGAAAGAATCACATGTACCTGTACAGGCCATTCGATACCAATCATGCTGAAAGACCACTGAAGAAAAGCAAAATGCTTCTAGTGCCTTTAAAGGCATTGTTTCTCTGCTT